TGTCAAACCACCTTTCTGATAAAGGACTAGAATCCAAAATGTATTAAAAAATTCTTAAAACTCAATAATAAGAAAACAAACAATATAATTTTTGAAAATTAGCAAAAGATCTGCACACACGCTTCACCAAAGAAAATATACGAATGGCAAATAAGCATATGAAAAGATGCTCCTCATCATATGTCATCAGGGAATAGCGAATTAAAACAATGAGATACCACTACACACCTACTAGAATGGCCAAAATCTGGAACACTGACACCAAATGCTGGCAAGGACGGGCAGCAACAGGAGCTCTCATTCACTGCTGATGGGAATCCAAAATGGTACAGCCAGCTTGGAAGAGTTTGGCAGTTTCTTACAAAGCTAAACATACTCTTATACAATCCAGCAATTATGCCCCTAGGTATTTACCCAAATGAGTTGAAAACTTATGTCCACACAAAAACCTGCTCATGAATGTTTATAGCAGCTATATTCATAATTGCCAAAACTTGGAAGCAACCGAGATGTCCTTCAGTAGATGAGTGAATAAATAAACTGTAGTACATCCAGAAGATGGAATATTATTCACTGCTAAAAGGAAATGAGCTATCAAGCCTCGAAAAGACGCAGAAGAACTTTAAATGCATATTGCTATGTGAAAGGAGGCAAGACGGAAAGGCTCCCACTGTGAGTCCAACCATATGACATTGCGGAAAAGGCAGAACCGTGGAGACGGTGCACCATGGATGTCAGTCAATAATAACATGGGCTCGTCAGCTTTAACGAGGCGCCACAGTAGTGCAAGATGTTAATAAAGGGAAACCTGTGTGGAAGCGTGAGGGGGACCCACTCAGCTTCACTGTGAACGTGTAACTGCTCTACAAACCAAGGTCCACTTACAAAACCACAACTTTCCAGATGCGTCTTAGGTGTCACCACCTGCATCCCCTCCTCTGGGAAACCCTGAGGAGCAGGTCTCTCCACATGCTTCTGCAGCCTCTGGGCCAGGCTCAGCTGAGAATGACACAGCAGGACATGAGAGGGCTCAACCAGTTACCTCAGCGTTTACGCCCAAAGGCCATCCCCACTATGATCAAGAGCCCCACGTTTCAAAGTGAGGTGCTGGAGCACCGACAGAGGATTTGCCAGGAGAGGGACCCGAAGGGTCTGCGCCCGTCAGCCCAGAACCACCTGGAGGCCGAGGGAGAGAAGGCGGCACACAGTAGGGATGCTTCACAGCTCCCTCCTCATAAGGGGACCGGGGGTGCTTCCCCTCCCACAAACCAAGGGAAGTAGCCACAAGACCCATTTGGCAGCTCAGCCTGTGTCCTCCTAGGGAGGCAGGAACCTCTCTGACTTGCGCCTGGAGTGTCTGAAGGTGAGGCCACTGCGACTGGCCGGCTGGCGGGCTGCCCGATGCAGAACCTGAAGAGGAAGCGGTGCTGGCAGCGGCCTGCGTGCCCCACTGGCAACGCAAAGGGTGGTTTTCATTTTCCTCAGCCAGGTGTTGACTCCCATGGACCATCTTGAAACTCCTTCTCCTAAGAGGACCATCTGGAGAGGGAAGGTGATCCCAATAGAAGGGAAACCTGTGGGGGCTGCAGCAGCCTGAGGAGCAGCCCCTGCACTGGAGGGCCTGCGGCTGGGGAGTCTCCACGTGCGGGGTCGGGGGAGGCCTGAGGCGCTCACAGAGGCAGCCCCTGCTGTGCCAGCTTTCTGACCCTGGGCTCCTGCAGGCTGCAGTGATGAAGGGACAGAAGGCGAAGCAGAGAGGAGACTCCCACCCCCACCGCTGTGCACAGCTCCCAGCCCAGGTCCAGGGCCTTGTGTGGGACTGGGCCGGCGGGAAGAGACCCTGTCAGTTACAGGAAGTTGAGAACTCTGCCACCGCTTGGTCCTGGGCTTTTCAACATCTGGAAGAGAGTCCATGGCTGACTGCACTGTGGGGTCATGCAGGGCTGCAGTCACAGGCAGGCTCGCGCCAGTGACTCCATCTCACTGAGTGGGTTGGCTGCGGTTGATAGTAGGAGGGGCTGGAAACTGCTCAGACACCACTGACCCGTCCTGAGGCCAGGGCCTGGGCTGTGTCTGTGTCCGCTCACAGCACAGCCAGGGGTGGGGCCGAGAGGGGCACATCCCCAAGGCAGCACATGACATCTGTACACTCCAAAAAATGCTCGTGAAGGCTTCCCACCGCCACTCTTGAGTCTAGCTTCATAATCACCTTGAGAAGTGGGCCAGCACGTATTAGGAATTCCACGCCACAGCGAATACAGTCTTATGTGACAAGCATGCACTGGGCACCAGCTGTGTCCCACAGCATGCCCTGAGTGTGGGGGTGCCCAGGGGCCAGGATGCTATGTGCCCATCAGAACTGGGAACAGCTGTAGAAGATATGCTCTGAGTCAGCTTCCAGGAGCCCATGGGGCACAAAGCCAGGGGCCAGGCTCGGAGGGCGCTCCCCAGACCACCTGCTGATCCCCCATCACAGCTGTGAGCACCAGGCTTAAGAAAGGGGGGAGGAGGAAGTAAATTGTTTATTGAAGTCTAGCATTCAGGCTTTTAAAAGACACCAAAGGAGGGACCCAGGCAAATGGTGAGTTTCTTCGTAGGTAAAGTTAAAAATGGCCTGTGGGGTATGGGGGCGTGTCCTCCACCCAAGCAGGCATGGTCCCCAGAGTCATGCACCTGGACTCTGGGCAGGCAGGGGGCCAGAAGGACCTCGGGGTCCGTGTATTCGAGGCTCGGTCCTCTTGGGAAAGCACAGGGTGCCGGCACAGTATTCCACCCTCTTCCGAGCACCAAGCCCAGAGGCTCCCCTCGCGAATCAATAGGTTTCCGGCTTCTGATTGTGGGGACAGCACAGCAGTAGTTGCTCAGCTTCCACCCCCAGAGGGTTGATTCTCTCCACTCAGAGCTCAGCCTGGAAAACTGGGGAAGCCACAGGCATGGGAGGGCCAGGAAGCACGTGAAGTGCGGGCCCAGCGTCCAGGCAGGAGGCGGTAGCAGCTGAGAAGTGCCTCACAGGGCTGATGCCCCCCGACTGGGGCCTCAGAACACAGACCCCCGCAGGTGCTGAGGGTGGGGTGGTAGGAAGCGGCGAGGAGCAGGAGGCAGAGGCGGGGCCCTTGTGACCAGGGCCAGCTCCCACAGGGCCTGGTCACCGCTCAGTCAGGGGGCTGCCACACCTTAGCCCGGCAGTGTCAGGGGTCCAGCCACAAGACCACCAGCCCCCCACATCAGGCACGCGCAGCGGAGCCCCTCCCCCCAGCCCTGAGGACATGTAGGCTCCCCCGCAAGGCCAAGTGGAAAAATTCCTGCAAGAGTGGGCAATCACCCAAAGGAGACAGAGTCCCCTCTGACTGACAAATGGAAGTCCCACCCGACCCAGCATCAGCGGGATCCTGAGCAAGGCAGGGACAGACAGAGTGAAAGAACCTCAGTTGGGCATTCTGTTCTGCAGTGTGTCAGAGTCTGACTCCGGTTCAATTCTGACCTATCTCCACTGGGTCGAGACCCTCTTTCAGGACCTCAGGCCTCTGGACTTGTCCACACCTCCTGATTTCTCCAGTGCCCCTAGCACGTTGTTCTCAGGGACCCCCATCTCTCACTCCTGAGCATCCTTCCAGTCTCACTCAGAGCTTGCTCCTCCTCCCATTTGCCTGCATCCTGTCATCACGCTTATTTCCCCGGCGTCACCCACCCCTACCTGCTGGCCTGCAGACTCCCGTCTCAGAGGAGACTTTGTGTCCTCCCTGCTCCAGGGCAGTCGTGTCTAGAGGGTAGGCCCTCAGCAAAGCCTTCATGTGCAGTGATGACCTTGATCTGACAGCCGCCTTAGGGGAAGGGCGGGCACCAGCATTCTCATCCACAAATGGACAAACAGCTCAGAGAAGTCCATCAGCTTGTCCAGGGTTGGAGAGCGAGTAAAAGAAATGTTGGATGCAGAGTCCATAAGCTTCCAGACCCCAAGCTGCATACCTGAGCTCGCAGATCTTGGTCTGTAATACTGTCCCCCTGAGATAGGAAGAAAGATGATAGACGATAGACAGACAGACAGGTAGATGGACGACTCCAGACACACAGATGTTAGATGCTGATGGACGAATCGGTGGTGGGGTGGTCAGAGAGGATACAAACCGTGAAGCCAGTGAGGTGAAACTTCAGGAGCTGAGCCTCGGTAAAGGGCAAAAGGATGTTCTTTGTACTCTTCTTATTCTAACTTTTGTGTAAGTTTAAAATTATTTTCAAAGAAGTTAAAACCACAGAAAAGTCACGTCTTATTTTTCATTTCTATGCTTCTCCATTGGCCGGGTAACAGCCGGATCCAGGATCTTCGGATGTTAAGGGGACCGCCTTCCGGAGGCTCAGGGGGTCTCAGGCCCCCGCGACCCCACCCACTGCCCCTTTGGCTGTGAGTCCGCGGGAGACAATGACTTTCCCGGTTTTACACGGGAGGCACGGAAGACCTGCGGCCACGCTGAGCCCCCTAAAATGCACTCCACCAAAATGCACTCCAATTTTCTTCTTGATTTTCAGTTGCCCCAAGCCAAGCCCTTGGGCTTCAAAGGCAGCCCACCCACCCACTGGGTTTCCGGCCACCTTTGGGGGCGTCTTTAGGTTATTATCTAACGAGGAGGACACAAGCAGGTGCAAACCCACCGGTTCACGCCTGGAGCCCTGTCTGCCCGTTCCCTGTCACCCCGGAGTCGCCCTCTCCCTGACTGCTCAGCCTGGAGGTGGGCGGGCACTGCGGCCCCCGACCCACCTGTGCGCACCCCTCACCGCCTCTCCTGGCTGCGGAAGAGGGGAACAGGCAGCGCGGTGGGAGGGGAGAGGAGGGAGAGGCGGGGCGTGGGAGGAGCGGGAGCAGGGGAGGAAGGGGGTCACCGGGAGGAGGGGGGACCCGGTCGAGAGAAGGAGGGGGCGGGGCCGGGCCGCGGGGGGCGGAGCGGGGGGCGGGGGCCCCGGCGGCGGCAGCTGCGGGCGCGCGGCGCGGGGGCGGGGCGGGGGGCGAGGGGGGAGCGCGGTGCTGCGCTCGGGCGGGCGGCCGGTCGGCGAGCGGAGCCGGGATGAGGACGCCCGCGCTTCTGCCGCGCGCGCTGCTGACCTGCTGCTGGCTGCTCGCCCCGGTGAGTGCGCCCGGGACCCCCGCTCCCTGACCGTGGATCCATGTTTCCCCCAGAGGGGAGCGCCCCGTGCGCCGGGCTGCACTTCCCTCCCGAGTCCCGGCACAGGGCTGGCCAGGGGCGCGGGGCGGGGTGGCGCGGGGCTGGGGATGCCGAGCTGGCCAGGGGCGCGAGGCGGGGGCGCGGGGCTAACCAGGGGCGCGGGCCAGGGGCGCGGGGTCGGGGGCGCGGGGCTGGCGAGAGGCGCGGGCCGGGGGCGCAGTGCTGGCCCAGAGTGCTCCAGAGAAGGAATAGGGTCCCCGGGGGCGTTCCGGACCCTCCCCAGCGGAGCCGAAGCACCGCGCTCCGCGCCAGCCGAAGTCAGCCTTCGGTGGGAGATGCACGCGCCGTCTCCCCGGCACCGACTGCCCCGGATTTGCTGGGCAGGATGCTTTACTTCCCCGGGGCTGTCAGAGAGGAGCTGGATCCCCCGCCTCCAGGGATCGCGCCGGCGAGGCCCGCGGGTCCCGGGGCGCCCACCTGCGCAGGCTTCCCGCTTCTGGGAAATGGGTTTGCTTCGTCATTAACGGCTTCTCCTTCCGCTCCTGGCGCTTGTCACTAGTTTCCCTGTGTTTTAGTGTGTGTCAGGGGCAGACGCAATGTGGCGAAAGAAAGTTTCCTTTTGGAAGTATTCCGCTTTGATTTTTCTACCATTATTTAAAAGCACCGAAGGAAATTACATACCGAAGAGAAGCTGGTTAAATGAGGGCATTAATAGATTATTTAGTTCCCAAGAATTCTTCCTTTTATTTGAAGACCTTTTAGAAACAAGTTCGAACCTTATTTCTTGCTTCCTTCCTCGCGGACTGAAGACTGTTGTGTGTGTGCACGTCGTATTGTGTGTGTGCACGTCGTATTGTGTGTGTGCATGTCCAGCCAACATCGCAGGCTCTGTTGATTCATCTCCCCTGAAGGTTGTGCAGCTGAGGACGGAGCTATCTGGGGAAAGCAGTAATTGCTGAGGCTGTCTCCTCCGTGTGGGGGCGGGGGGGGGGGGGGGGGGCGAGGCATAAGCCTGCCGCCCTCCTTGTGTCCTGTAAAGGTTCTCCTCCCTCGGAGGAGGGCTGTGAGAATAAGAACCTTGCTACTAATTGCAATGCTTTGGAAGAGCTAGTTTGTTAAAAGTACCGGAAATTATTGTGGTTAATGCTGCTTTAATTTCTAAGATGTCCCAAAATAAGTCATCGCTCTGCATATTCCAAGAATGTCAGGTATTATAGTGTCTTTTAATACCTTAACAAAAATTTATTTTTCTTTTTAAGTCAATATGATTTCCCTGATTCTGAAATCTAAACCATTGGCTTGTTTTTCCCATAGAAAAATATAGCCTGCTTGAAACCAGGATCTTCTGCAGTTGGAGGTTGTCCAGTAATAAGCTAGGGGAAGAAAAAAAAAGCTTTAGATCTTTTTTAAAATGAGGGTAAATGTGATGAAAGTATACAGCATTACGTTTCTTCTCTTAATTCTGTTAGGAAATTCTATTCCTGGTTAGAATTCTAATTGACCTATTTCAATAGTAGGATAATTAAACATAGATGGTCATAATATAGCCAAGAGTATGATTCTTTTTAGTAAAAGTAAAATTTTCTTCAGACACAGGAGGGGGTGCACCTCCAACCTACCATGTATTTGGGGGGTGCCAATACAAAAAGAGAATGTTGGACCTTTGTAAAAATAGAGATCAGAGACTATTATCTTCTAAGACTGAAACACGTGGTTTTGTCTTTGCACACACAGACAGACAATATTAACCACTGTTTGTGTCACATCTTTAGTTCCTGTGACAGATCCGATGTGAACTCACCCATCCCTTGTTTAGTGGAAGCCACAGTGATGGGCTCTCCCCAAATTCTTCTCCTTGTTTACCCCTCGAATCTTTTTGAAAAGCTCCTTCACACCAGAGTCTAAGGCTGGGTTTGCACGATGACCTGCAGCCTCTCACCCTGGGGCTGTCCTGTTGGGGCTCCTGGCAGTGACGAGGGCAGAGACTGTCCCTGGAGGATGAGCCGGCTCTAGGGTGGCTGGCGTGCCATCCTTAAGAATGGTCTTAGGAACAAACATGTATTTACTCTAATTAAATCGAAGCCTATGAAATGGAGGACTCCAGTATTGAAAGATGATTGGATTAAAGAGCTCTATTGCCGCCAAATTAGTGCTAGCAACATGCAGTGTATTACGTTAGTAAGTTTGTTTTCCGTGCAAAAAAAAATATATCCTATTAGGTTTCATATTTGTTGTATAACTCCTTTACAAAGTAAATAGTGGAGGTTTTTTTTTTAATAACCATGCCAGAAATATGAAGGTGATTCTTTTAAATGAGTGTTAATTTGGAAGTGGTTTAGAACTGTGAGATTTTGGGGGTTTTGTAGAACTTTTGCTTGACTTCCTTCTTCTGTTGGGATTTTTTAGTTATTTCTGTTTTTTTAAATCTTGACCAGGTGAACAGCATTCACCCAGAATGCCGATTTCATCTGGAAATACAGGAGGAAGAAACAAAGTGTGCAGAGCTTCTAAGGGCCGAATCAGAGAAATACAAAGGTGAGGTGGGGAGCTGATGACTAGGACTGTGCCCGGGGACTCAGAGACCCCACAGGCCCTCTGGAATGGGTGTTTCTGGTCACCTGCATCTTCGGGAAAAAGGGAAAAGGTCCGTTTCCACTGTTTTTTCATGAACTCTGGTAAAACTCAGAGAGCATGGTGGTGTTGGGCCAAGGGAGAGCTTCATGTAAACCTTTCAGAAGAAAGCCTTGATCCTTAACAGTAGCAGTTTCCGTGGTTTGAGATAATACACCAGTTACTAATTTCATGGCGTTGTTATGCTTTGCAAAAGCAACTTCATTTCCACGAAGTGAGTATTTATCTAATTTCTTGCATTTTAAAGTGAGTTACATCACAGATGATTTCGGTCCTCTTAAGAACCGTGGGAACTTGTCAGAAATCAAACAGGAAAATGAAACTCATGTTTTCCTGCAGACAGATCTTTGTGACTGCAGCGAAGTGGCTGATTTTATTTTCTCCAGGTCGAGAAGGAGTGCCAGGACAGCAGGCACTCCACCTGGGCACATTCACATGCCTATAAACTCACAAGGTTCTGGTATGACACCCAGAGGACAACAGGAGCAGAACCCTTTTGCCCTTCAGCTTTCTTTTTCTCTGTTCTGTGTTATTATTTTATCCTCTTCAAGAACAAATTAAAATCAAAATATGACTATGTGTCAAAACAGTGTAGTGTCCCGCAGGGGACCCCAGACCCTCAGTCACAGATGTGGGCTCTGCTTTGGACCAGCACTGCCCAATAGAAATAGACCTTGAGCCACATAAGAATTTGAATTTTCTAGTAGCCACATTAAAATAAGTAAAAAGAAACATGCGAGATATTTTATTTATCCAAATATATCTGAACCATTATCATTTCAACTGTAACTGATATAAGATACTGATGAGAAATTTTACTCTTTTTTTTGTATACTAAGTGTTAGAAACCCAGAGTGTATTTTGCACTTACAGTGCATCACGATTTGGACCCGCCATGTTTCAAGTGCTCACAGGTGGCCAGTGGCTCCTGCACTGGACTGACGCTAAAACTGGCATCCTGTGCCCCTTCCTGTCCCCTCTGGAGCCTCCACTTCCGCAGCTGAAAAGTGAGGTCTCTGGCTCCAGGATTCCTTCCAGCCTTAAAGATCTGTGATTCTGCGGGGCACACATGGCCCTGGGGCCCACATCTTCCAAATGGTCTGGTTGATCTCTGTCCAGAGGAAGGCAAATGAAGTAGCTCCACAGCAGACGTGGACTGGATGTCCGTCCCATGCAAAGCCATGTGCTGACCATTAGCCACTACAGGGATGGATGAGACATGGGTCCTGCCAACCAGGGCCTCGTGACAAAACAGTCGTCATGGTCACTGACGTCCATTCCCTTCAGTGAAAATTAAGAAATTTAGGAAAAGTAAGTGTTGAGTGGAGATGGTCTACAGCCTTTAGAAGCATCTCGTTAGTGGCCAGTGAGCCCAGGTCCTGTCAGCACATCCCAGCAGCCCACTGGCGAGGCCTCCTGCATGGAGTGGGGCGGGCAGGAGTGCCATCTGCTGCATCCTCAGTTGCTGACCTCGGCCTCTGTCCGAAGACCCGGGGATGGGAACTCCACCTCCTCACGCCATGTTGGACAGTCATGCTGCTGATGGGTCCTGAGGCTGCCTGAGGATGGTGTCCACTCGCGGGCATTAATTTGCCTCCTGGAGCAGCAGTGAACAGAAGTGCTCCTTCCCAGGAGTGCGTCTTCCAGCATTTAAAGGGTGTTCGTAAGCGCTGCCTTCTATTCCAATTCCTGCATCCGTCTTCAGGACGCACGCACGTCCCAGGCCCTCTGCCACAAGCTCTGGACGCACAGGCACTCCCGAAATGGTGGAGGGAGGAGAGCTGTACCATTGGTGTTGCTGACGCAGGGTCATAATGGAAAGCAGACCAAGTCGCAGTCGGTTTTATCATTGTTTTATCATTGTTGGTAAATTCTCTACAGACCGTGCACCTCTCCCCTGTGGACACCTCGGCTGGCAACTGCTCCCCTCCCCTTGCCTCTCCCAGAAATGATGTTTTAGGGAAAAGCTCCTAAAATACTGTTTTAGTGTTTCTTTCTTGTCACTCTTGACTTCCTGCTTTCATCAGGAACATTTTGTTAACAAACAGAAGACTGGCCCCGTTCCAGTGGGCAGCAGGGAGCTCTTAAGTTTTGAAATGTGGAATGTGGCCAGGACTTTCCCTCGGAGGAAGTCCCCTCACACTTGGTCAGGGGGTGGCTGACAGTGATGGAGCATCTGTAAGTTTGTGCCAGTGACTCACCTTGACAGATGCGGGACGAAGGGAAGCAGGACTAGTTCAGGGAGGCTAAGTTCTCTGCCGTTGTGAAACAGAATGTTGTGATCCACAGTCAGGCCTTTTTTGTATAAAAGATTCTTTTTTACTGGTTGGCTCACATAGATGGAGCATGGCCTTAATTAGTTCAAAACAATGTCATTTTAGTTTTACTCTATTCCACAGGCACAGGTTTGACCCCTAATCCCTGGCCAGCCATTCAGGAGGACAAGCCATTGGCCACAGGGGGAGCTGATGGCCAGGCAGGGATGACACGCTGGCAGAGGGGGTGGGGGTGGGGGGGGGGGGAATGGGGCAGGGGCAGCTGCTCCTCACAAGCCTGGGTTGTCGCTGTGAGGAAATGCAGGCACTGAATTCTCAGCTTCCTATTTTCAGAGAACATCAGAAATGCAAAGTTGATGTAAAATATTCCAGTTTCTTAAAAGTTTGCAACTAGTGCTTAAAAAAACTTCTGTGGGAGCCAGGCAGACCTCCTGTGTGGCAGATATTGCCTGGGAATGGCCAGGCGGCTCTCAACTCTCAACGTGGTGGCTGGATGCAAGCCTGACCCAACCGTTGGAGACACCTCATGGAGCAGAGATGCGTCAGGACATTTTAAATATTCACTGGGAGCTCTTGTTCCTCCTGCCTTGATTCAGAGTCTCTCAGAGGTGGTCTGTGTGTCGCCCACGTCAGATGTGCTAGGTGGCAGTATCTAAGGGCAGAGTCTGTGAAAATCACCGAGTTCACCTCGGCCTCAGCTCAATCAGAATTAGGTAGCTTTAGACAAAGGCCACCAGACGTGGCCCTTGTTTGGAGCGGTGGAAAAAGAGATGACTCAGTGTTCTTGCGAGGACAGGTATCAGTCCTTGGACATTTTCTCATATCAAGGACTCTCCCTATTAACATTAGCTCTATAGCAAAAATATCTGCATCTGGCTCGCCCCACCTTTGTGACTTGCAGGAAGAGCTGGCTAACAGGCCCTTGAGCGAAAATGTGACGGTAGCTTAGGCCTGGCCACCCGTCAGCTTTCTGTAAAGAGGGACAACTTGTGTTCTAAATTCCTTTTTTCCTTTTTACTCTTCGAAATATGCATGGCTTGAATGCCAAGGATATAAATAGTAATAAGTTACCAGAATAAAGATGCGTAGATGAGATGACACAGCCAGTGTGCAGAGGGAAGGCCTTCTAACTGGATGGGGAGAGCACGTCGGCAGTGGACGTCTGCTTCTTGAGGTGAGAAGTGAGAAGAGACATCAAGGGTCTGCAGTAGCCACTTTTAGATTCTGTAGGATTAAGAAACTGATGTGAAAGAGCACCAGAAACAGGACAAAACTGGTTTTCAGTTCTAGTGAGGTAATTTGTGTAAGTCTCACGAGGAATTCTTGTTATTCCTTGTTGAGTCTAAAACAAACACAAACCAACCAGCCAACACATAAGTCCATACAGAAAGCGATTTCAAGTGTAAACCCCTTTAAAGGATTCACTTTGTAAGAGGGAAAAGCTCGGGAGGTACTTAGAGCTTTGTGACTTGATATTGATTTGTTGCTGAGACTAACTTAATCCTGCCAATATGCATATGAGGCACTCTGCGGCCACAGATGCCTAAAAATATAGCTAAGACGCAGCCCTGTTCCCAGCGTATGGCCCGCGCTGACCCGTAGGTGGGAGGGAATGAGTCAGCCATCCCAGGCTTTGCCCAGTCTTCCTGCGTATGCACAGGTTTGGTAGGAACTTTCATGTGACTTTGTATCATTTATGCCCAGATCTGGAGAGGATGTGGCCTGTACTTGGGAGGTGCAGACGTGGGACCTGTGTCTTCTTGGTGGTTCCATGCTCCAAGTCGTGCTGTTACGCTGTGTGGCTGAAATGGCTGTGATGGCGAATGTCAGTTTTGGACTGGGGCCATGGGAGGTGCCAGACTGAAAACCTGATATTTTTTGACTTTTTTTTAACAAAGGCTTCTGGACTGATTTTGATCAACTTATGAAGAGCTGTGACGGGTTTGGATTGTTCCCCCACTTGTGCTTGCAAGTTAGCATGCCACAGCTTCAGGTGCCTGCAGGAGACACGAGACCCTGGTCAGAGACAGACGTCATTGCACCTGGCACAGCAGGTGTCTTGGCTCCCTTTTCTTGAGTCCCACAGGAGCCGTGGGAGCAGCCACATAGATGCACTGCCCACGGTCGGTTTGTATCATAGCTGAGGAGCCCCCAGTGTCACAAGGAAGCTGCTGATGCTCCTGCCCAACCTTTGCTACAGAGAAAGATGCTACCTCAGTTATCGAGGTCAGCCAAGAGGGAGGCACGGAGCGCACTGTTGCTCACATCCCCCAGCTTGGTGTTGTCTCTCCCGGTCAGCACGTGAGCTGCTGAGGAGCGGCCACCGTGGTCGCACGTTCCCATCCTTCACAGACGCATGAGGAAGGCGCACGAACAGACCACTCTGTGTCATGTTCACACGGCTCTGAATGTCGGGAAGCCCAGGCACAGCCCAGGGATAGGCCGCTGCCCTTTGACATCAGCGTGATGCTGGAGACCTCCTAAAGGTGGCCCGTTTCTGCCCTTTTAATTTTCTCTCTGATGTAGTAGTCTTTGTTCTGGTCCGCACTTCTCTTCGGGCTGACGAGGTAAACAGCCTGGTCTGTTTTTCCCTTAGGATTGGATCTTTTCTTTTTTGACTGAGTTTCT